CTGTATTCCAGACATATTTTTCTTTACTTCCATTATGTAATGTCAATCCAATTTCCCCTTGGTAATCAGGATCTATGACACCAGACAATATAGTAACTCTCTTCTTTGCCTATTGATCCAGAGGCCTCAGACCAGGTGGCATCCTTAACTTCCAGTTCAATGCAATCAGTATTGTGTCTCCAAGTGAGAGTGTTCCTCCGTTTGAGACTAAAACCACCAGACCTACAGAGCATAGGGTTGCAGGGACAGGAAGCAAAACTTTTTAGAGTGGATCACTAGGGTAATAGTGAGTGGTATCACTCCCATTTCTACCCCTTGGTTCCTGAGCCCATGAATCCTGGCTATTGCAGAAATAGCATCGTATACTGGATGCTAGTTTAGAGCAAATACAGCCTTCTGGAGAACACTGCCCCTTGCAAGGTATTTCCATGTAGCTGCTGCTGTAACTGTTTTTAGTAGGTCTTCCATTGTTCTATCAAGCCAACTGCTTCAGGATGATGCGGAACATGGTAAGAACAGTGTTTTGGTTAGCTAGTGCTGCTCTGACAAGAATATCTACCACAAATGGGATGGATTGAACAAACAGTATTTTATTCTCTTACAGTTTGGGAGGCCAGAAGTGCCAAGCTCTAGGGGCTGTGTGAAAGCCCCTTGACCTTGGGCTTCAGCTCTACTTCTTGCTCCCGGCCCACTGAAGCTAGAGCCATCTCTTCACTCAGGCAGCTACTGACTGCTGAGGCTAACAAGCCCAAGGTTGACAAATAAAATGGCACAGTCCCAATGTTACCAAACCACATGGCAGACCATTGATTCACGCCCATTGAAAGTCCCAGGATTGGCAAAGCATGGCAGTCTGCTGAACAACAACTTGGCTACATGCAGGGTTCAAGCATGCCATAAGCTAGAGATCATTCCCAAAACTATTTCTTATATATGGGAAGCAGATCCCATACCCAAAGGCAGCTACTCAGCTGCTCACAGCATTCTACCATGGACTTGATGACCAGTCTCATTATGGGGAATACTACATCCAGCTGCCCAACCACTCAACCAGGCCCAGCCAAGTTGACACACAAACTTCACCACCACAACCAGTGAATTCCTTGACCATAGGCCCAGGAGCTCTGGTAGCATAGTGCCTAAGGCACTTGACTGCTAACCAGAAGGCTGGTGGTTCAAACCTACCAGCCACTCCTCGGAAGGAAGGTTGGGCAATCTACTTCCATAGTGATACTGTCTCAGAAACCCAAGGAGGGATCGCTATGAGTCAGCTCCGACTTGACAGCACATAACAACAACAACAAGGCCCATTGCCAAGGAACTCTGGTGGTGCAGTGCCTAAGGCATTTGACTGCTAAACAGAAGGTTGGTGGTTCAAACCCACTAGCCATTCCATGGGAGGAAGATGAGGCAATCTACTTTCGTAAAGATCTACTCCTCAGAAACCCAATGGGGGTTGCTATGAGTCAAAATCAACTCAATGGCAGTGGGTTTTTTTTAGGCTCACTGCCACACTTCAGGAGCTCTGGTAGCATAGAGCCTAAGACATTTGACTGCTAACCAGAAGGCTGGTGGTTCACACCCACCAGCCACTCCTTGGAAGGAAGGTTAGGCAATCTACTTCTGTAGTGATACCGCCTTGGAAAAGCAAGGAGGGGTTGTTATGAGTTGGGTCTGACTCGATGGCAAATAACAACAAAGCCACACATCATTTGCTGTGAAGTGAGTCCCTTGAGCCAAAGAATGCTGTGTGGGATACCATGATGGTGGATAAGACACCCTGTAAGTCCACAGATGGTAGTTCTGGCAGAAGCATTGTGTGCAGGGAAGGCAGATCCATATCCAAAGAATCTATTCCAGTAAGAGCAAAACGCTGTCCTT